AAAGAACAAGTGTTATCTTCTCATTAGCTATGCAAATGCTTAGTTTTACGTCATATTATGAATATTTCGACCGTGCTTGTATCCAACCGAATTCTGATCATGCGATGTTTTCTGTGTTGATGGCCGGGGATTCATGATTATCCTCCGCAATACACTTCTCTCTTTCCACTAATCTCGTTCCTTCAATTCCATTCGAAACTCGATCAAAGTTTGCTCAATGTTTTAACAATCACTTGCGAGTTTTTGTGTAAAACAATACGTTTTCAGTGTTTTAATTATAAAAAGTTGCATCAAAAGCGGTAGTAAAAGTGGGAATTGTACTGATTTTATTCCTACTGAGGATATTTTGATGAGATTAAATGCCAAGGATAAAGATAGAACTAATAGTAATATTCAAGAACTCATAGACTTAGAAGAGGGGTAAATATTGCCTTAACGGGTGTTGATTTTATTGACTATTATATGTTCAATTAAAAATAATGAAAGTGTATAGAACATTTTTTTATGAAGACTATCCTTTTAATTTTTTTGTCATCTTTTTCAACAAACCTTAATCCAACCCTGGTTGTATATGTAACCTTTTTCCTGGTTGTGTTATAAACAAACATTTAGTGCCTTGCTTCTTGTTTGCGATCTACTCTTGTTTCTTGATTTATATTTTAGAATTAACTATGAATGTAGAAGCGTTTATCGCGAAAGTTTTTCTTAACCCTGCTGTACGGGATAAAAGAGACAAGAACCATTCAAATAGGAATGTCGTTGATAGGTGCTGACAAAATATCGCTGGAGAAATGGATGTTGAAGGCACGGACAGCGGCAGTCACACGTTCAATTGCTCTGATAAAAATAATTAAAAATGCCGTCTTGTGTGGTGAAATCCTGTAAAAACTACACGAATAAATTTAAAAAGTCACAAGGAATTACCTACCATTCGTAAGTATTGACAATTCTTGATATTTATTCCATATTATATTTTATTTACTGGGATGAAAATTGTAAACAAAAATACAACTGTATGGCTACTTTATTTACGGGAAATTTTCCCTAAAAGTAGGGAAATTTGTATTTCTTGCATTTGTGACTCGGTAAGGTCAGATTTCGTAACTTTTTAGGATTCCGTATCCCAAAAGGAAAAGAATAGAAGCCATATTATTCATAGAATATTTTATAAGTTTTATAAAATGGTTTGTTCTCGCTGTGAATTCTTTGTTGTTTATATATATGTAAATATGTAGCAAACTTTTTTGTGTTTAGCAACTGATTGTAACTAATAATTATTTCTTTGTGTTTTTTTATTGTTTGGTTTTAGTTTTTGTTAGTTCTAGTTTGTCATAGATACAGTTAGTCTATAAAGTCGTGACATTAATGTTTGAGGAACTAACATTATTCATGTGTCTGGCAACACCAAACTTATGTACATCAGCTGATAGAAATACATACAATGGTACATCAGCTGTCATCGAGTTTCAGTTGTGGAACAGTTTTCCTTTTGTATTTTTTATTGTTTGGATTAAACTGTAATAAATTAAGACGAAACTAAGGTATAAAAATGAGTAATGTAAATCGGAGTGGCATGCGGGAAGTGATTTTTAAAGTTTTCCAGCGATGTTTCGAAGACTACCAAGCTGGACGAATTTTGTGGGATTTGGATGATTTTATGGGCGAACAGCATCTATAACGGGTATGTAATCGTGTAACTATTTGTTTGTAATCTGCCTGAAGTTACAAATTTACTCAATTTACGATTTTGAGACCAAAAAAGGCATTGTTTACATTGCACATTTTTAGGTTAGATTTACATCCTAAATAGGTAATATTGTAGTACGACCATTTCTTTTGATACGTTATTATGGTTCAACTCGGTCAGGTTTTCTACCAATTTTGAATTAATTGCTTCATGTCAATAAGTTATTGTTTCTATTCCGTTACATATTTTTTTACTTTTTTTTTCAGGAAAATCAGAGAGTCGGATAGTCAATGAAGGTTTTAAGAATGATGGAAAGTTTGAAACTCCTGAGAAAACAGGCAAGGCCGACCAAAGAAAGAAATGGTCACATAAAGAACCATGGCCAGTTGCTTTTAGTGAAGATACCTATCACTAATTTTACTAACTGCACATTTACAAATTGTTTCTCTACATACACTTTTTATATACTACTATAATTATGATGATTTTTAGTATTATTTTCTTAACAAGTGTGTTAAAAAACGTCGTATGATGATACTTGTGTGTATTGATGATTACCTTACGGCTCTGGTCTCAATGGCACCTCAGCGGTAATCACCAACATTACACACTTTTACACCATAAAGTACTATTTTAGCTATAATAATTTTATTCTGATTCAATTAAATATGCTTGGCTAAACTTTTTATAAGCATAGGTACCTACTATATATAAAACAGAAACAAAATACGACTGTATAGTGTGTCTTATTAATTACCTATATAGTATCAAAATCATTTTGGTCAGACTGTACAGGGTTGCTACATGCATACTAGTGGCGCCATCATTTAATGTCACGACTTTATAGACAGACTGTAAATCTTACTTCATTTATATTTAATTCATTTCTCTTGTTTTAAGGCTTAAGATACTAAAAGCATTCAGCCTATATTGTTATTTTTTTTGTCATGCTGATTGGTATGGTTCTAATCTTCTGTTTTATTATTAAATTAAAAATGTTCGTCAACCCTGCCAGAATTATCAGCGCTGCAGCAGTACTGGTGTTGCTGTAGTATTAAGCTGAGGCAGGGACCTAGTTGGCCTGTCTTTCTGTGTTCTGTTTTTGTATATCGAATGTTAAGCATGCGACTTTAAGCCTGTATCATAAGACTTTAAAAGACATAAATAAATTAAATTAAATTTCTGCTCTGCACTTACCAGTAAATATACCAGAGGTAATTTAAAATGCTAATTGATACCGTGTATTAAGAATACGAATACTTCAGAAGCAAGGGTTTGACAGTTTTCTAAAGTTCCTGTCCCCATCTTGACATATCTGTTTTCCTCACTCTGTCAGTCTTTAAATACCTACTTAATCTATGAATGAAACACTTAGATTTAAAAGAAGAAATAATAATATTAGTCTATTATATTTTTATTTTAAGCATTAATCTGCGCGATTTAGTATAATATTAACCAGATACTTAATTTTTATGTAAATAATAAATTACTTTATACGTAGCAAGTGTTTTCATTTTTCTAACGGTCGATGTCTTATATGACCACACTTATAGATGTAAAACAACCGATTTAAAACGTTTTAAACCAAATGTTGCCGTTTTAAACCCCAAATAAATCGTTTTAAACGGTTGAAAACTGGCATACAAAAATAAAAGAACTATGTTTTTTACACTTCATTATGGTCATTTTTTTTAAATTTTGTACTAGTTCTTTATTAACAGTCATCTTATAACAAACCCTTAGGATAAAAATACAAAAACTACATGCGAACGTACCGACAATCAGGGGGTCACTTTTAAAAGCACATTTTGACATATATAACAAGATACATAGAGATGTTATCTGTTAAAATGGGCTTGTGACCTGACTGTACATGATGTAGTTATTGTCAGCAGACTCCATCCATGCCCCAACCTACCTCCTGTTGTATTCGCGCCTGAGAAGTTTGCGTGCGCGGCGCGGGCGGCCGGCAGTTTATATATGTGCATGTGTGTGTAGGGTAGGCGAGCTGGACACGTTTGCGTCGAGTAACGATGAGTGACGTCAACGAGAGTGCGAGAGTGTGAGTTTGGTTTTAAACCGAATCAAATTGATTGAATTGATTTATATCGTTTGAAAACAATATTTGTTTTTATTTACTAACACAGAGTTTTTAACTTATGATAAGAGTTTTTATAACTTAGGTAGGTAATGGTGACTATTCCGGCATGATTTTCTAAAGCTAAACTTAAATTTGACAACAGTGTATCCTTGTCATTCTCTATACAGAATGTAAAGGACAGACTGATGTTAAATTTAGTTTTAAGTTTAGAGAATCCTGCCAGAATCGACACCAGTACCTATGCTTGGTCGCGGACCAACTAGAACTATACTCGCTAAGTATATCAATATCAGTAAGTATATCACACATTTAAAAAATCTTTATACAGTTTATAGGTACTCCGTTATATTCCTATCTCGGTAAAATCAAGACAATGGTGTCGATTCTGGCATGATTCTCTAAACCTAAACTTAAATTTGACAACAGTGGTGTCAATTCTGACACGATTCTCTAAACCTAAACTTAAATTTGACAACAGTGTATCCTTGTCATTCTCTATATGGAATGAAAAGGAGAGATTGATGTTAAATTTAGTTTTAAGTTTAGAGAATCACGCCAGAATCGACACCAGTGTGTCCTTGTCATTCTCTATACAGAATGAAAAGGAGAAACTGATGTCAAATTTAGTTTTAAGTTTAGAGAGTCACGCCAGAATCGACACCAGCGTAGTTATAATTAAGAAAAACATAGTCATCAACACCAACCGTTTTAAATCGAAAAAAAAATGGTTTATTTCGGTTTTAAACGGATTGGTTTAATTGGTTTTAAACCGGCCTTACATCTATAACCACCCTCAAATCACGCACACACGGTAAACGGGCGGCCATTTGCATGCTTCACTCGTGATTAGACGAGGTTACGTCCGTCTTTTTTTTAGGTCCGTGGTTGAAGGTAAAGAAATGCTTTTATCTTGTACTCTCATTTTTAATACAATTTATTAGATACTGAATTCACCAGCGCGCATTTACCTTTCTCTATGCGTCCGCGTCTTGTATTATCTGCCTCCATTGCGGCCATCACCTGCTTTCCTCAAGCTGATATCTCACGAGCCTGTTTTCTGAGTCTGAATCTGATTCCGAACCAGCACGCACGGTGGCTGTACCCTTTAAACTCCTGTCGACACGACACGTTAATATGTTTCTGCCTTACATGTACAGTAGCTACGGAACGCGACCCTGTGCATGTGCCATTGTGCCAATTGTCTGTGGCTATTACTGACAATTGGCCAATCATAATCAAGCACGGCAAGTGGACTAGCGAGTTAAAAAAAATCTCGCAAAATTACTTGCTTTACACGTGTATTTTTATGTAAATAAAACCAGTGAACATATTTCGCATAATGTCTGACTGGGATACGGTTACCATCCTCCGTAAAAAACCACCAAAAGCTTCTGCATTGAAAACGGAGCAAGCCGTCAATGCCGCACGTCGTCAAGGTTTACCTGTGGATACGCAACAGAAATTTGGTGCTGGAACTAACAAACAACATGTAACTACAAAAAATACAGCTAAACTTGACAGAGAAACTGAAGAATTGCGTCATGAGAAAGTACCTCTTGATTTGGGGAAACTTATTATGCAAGGACGGCAGGCTAAAGGAATGAGTCAAAAAGATTTAGCTACAAAGATTTGTGAGAAACCACAGATTGTAAACGATTATGAGGCGGGTCGTGGCATTCCTAATAACATTGTACTTGGTAAAATCGAAAGAGCAATTGGTATAAAACTCAGAGGAAAGGAACGTGGCCAACCACTACAGCCTCCTGGAGGAAAGAAATAACGGATTCCCTGGGAGGCGAAGATTAAACTCCGATATTTATTTATTGCATAATAATTTTTTCATTTTTACTGTTACGTGTTCTCAGTAATGTTATGATTTACAAGAAATATGATGTAAGCATTCTCATCTGGAATGTTCTGTTTGTTATTACAACATTTTATTGATGATGTTGCCAACATGAAAAAATGAAATTTACAGCAAATTGTGATTGTGTGATATGCAATAAAATAGTTACAACACAAATGTAAACACTTGGTATTTATAATATTAATTGATGAGTGCACCCATCAGGCACTATCCTGCTCCATAAAAAAATAAAATATTCTAAAACCCGACTGCAGTGGGTTACCGAGTCCAATTATCAATATTAATTAACCAACCAGGGATCTCAAAGGCTATTTGGCAAGTTTTTGAAAATGTTTCATTATTTATAAGTGTGTAGTGACTCCATAAAACATAGATAATATTTATGTTGTTAGAAGTAATTATGTTGTTTACTTCAGTAAACAACGAAAATAAAATAATGATTTAAAATTTAAAGGTTTCTCTAGCTAATATGTAGTCTTAACGAAAGGTCACATCACCAGCTCTCAATAAAACCTCAAACAGTTCAAAGTAATGACCCTTCAACAGCATACATGTGACATAAAATTATAGGCTCCATCAATTCTAGGTGTTTCGATTATGTGACAAGAGATCAATAATACTTTTCCATCTCAAGGTTTTAGTAATATTATTAACTACTTGTTTTGAGAGAATAGTTAAATCTTTCCCAATATTCATTTTATATAAACATGCCTATATTTGGTACTTCATTATTCATACTCTCAAATAGCCTATTGCATACATAAAATTTTATCAAAATTGGTCCACCTGTTTGGAGGTATTATCCTGAAACTGCACCATACTGCCATCTACTGGGTCCAATTATGAATCTTAACTATTCTTGAAACCACATAAAAGCTAGCAAAAATTTGGTCAAAATCAGTGCAGCTGTTTTGGAGGAGTTCAAATAAAATCCTAGGCCGTTCTATAGTATAGAGGCAACTACTTGTGAACCTCAATCTTCCAGGTGAAGGCATACGTTAAATTTCATAAAAATGAGTCAAGCCGCTTTAGACATGTACTACATATAGGTGGACAAGCAGCAGCCAACCCTGATCTCCACTCTGGATCCCGGTCCATGCAATTTATTATAGTCCAGTCAATGAAAGCTTAACTTTGCCATTTTGAGTTGATCACCTGCAACCAAACAAAAATTTCCGTAAGGGTTCATAGATTAATATACTAAAATGAAAAGTGTCTACGGAAATGGTAAAAAATTACCACCGAAATGATACAGCTAAGAACATCGCCTTTGTAGTAGAAGGGTTCTCTACTTTGAATCTAAATAAATTTCCTTATTCTTTCTAAATATTTTTGTACGTTATTTTATTTTAAGAATTATTAATTAAGTATTATAGGTACATTTTCAAAATAACGAACAAAGCGTGTTTAGAAAGCGAGAAGTTTATTAGTTATTAAATCGTCCCCTTAGTGCGAAAACCGATTATCTGCACTTTTCCCCTACTGAACTTTTATTGTACCAATCGACCCGTCTCATTGAGGCGCATCTACAGGTAAAACTCATTATGCTCTACGACGCATACTTCCTGAAATAGCTAATGAATCAACAGAATAACTGCAAATTATTTCCAAAATTCATGATTTAAAACCTAATAAACCCATTCAAAACACTTAAGTTTGTAAGTATATTACCGCTGAAACCAAGTTTCGGATTTAAACTCATTTTTTATGTAGACACTTAGAGTAAATATCCTGTGAGATTATTCAGCTAAAATTAGGTATCCCACGGTAATTGGCTTTGACTGTTTGAATTTTACCGGATATTTTAATTTTACTAGATAAAGTAAAAACTAACAAGTCTGTCGCTTTTTGCATAAAACAATATATAGTATATTTGCATTATATTTGAGGGAAGTAAAAGAAGATACCGAATTTCAATTTGTTTTCACTGAATTCCTTTTATTCGACGCTTTATAAATTACTTCAGCTTAAGTCGATTATCGGTGCTTACTCTTTTCTTCCACTGTAATTAATTAGCGTTAGCAATCGTTAATTTAAAATTTATGCTTCAGCTAAAACCAGTTATCCATGTTTAACCGTCTCTTCTGTACACAGATCGCGCGCTAGCGAGTGAGTTGCTCACTTTTATTCATTCATTGTTGAATCGCGCGCTGGGCAACACTGTTATTCTTTTGTTTAATTAATCACGAATAAACATTATTGGGTGAACTATATAAGTATATCATTTCAGTAATATGGAGATAATTAATTCGGTGGACTGTAATGCCGATAAGAGTCCAGCGAATGATAGTATCGTCGAAATTATACATCCATATTTTTTTAGAGATCCTTGAGTCAATATAGATACATTAAATAATTTCGGTTTGTGATGTACATTTACCTAGATACTGTAGGTTCAATATTTCGGGTGCAGTAGTATTTCTATCTAAAATATCTAGTTTAAAAATGTTTATTAAAGTTAATATACATATTAAAAATTTACGAAGTCGTTGGCGGCCGATTCTATTTCTATATAAAAAAAAAAAATGGGTGCGTGTACTTATGTAGGCGCGTGAGAAGTTATCCTTCTTTGGCATCGTTTAAAATTAGTTTTTAATTGGATGCAAATAATTAATTACAATAAATTAATAAAAAGTCTGGAAAAGGACACAGTCAATAAAGTTCAGTTTTAATTTGAAAAAATAAATAAATAATCAAAATATTCAATTAAAATCGCTACTGAATATAATTTATTAGAACATTATGTGATTTGCACTTGTATGAAACTCAAACACGTATTCCGAATATACAAACTAGAAACATGTGGATAAATATTATAAATATGAATACCTACAACTGTTACTTTATTACAAAAAATAAAGATGTGGTTTTTGGTTCTACTACACCAATGGTCAAGAGATGGCGCTGTAGTCTCCTGAATCACGCTTTGGTTCCGTTGTTCCAGATTAATATATACTTTTGATAGGCCTTCACAATGCAGTCGTTAGCACCCACTAAATAGAGATTCTATTTCTATTTTGTTGGTACATTTTCTTAATGTGCGGTAAACACAAAAGTAACGCATGAAGTTAATCTTAAATAATCCCAACTTCATGCTGTTAAAATTTTGTGTTACAGTGATGCGCGCGCATCTTAAAATTTCACTCTCATCATTTTTTCATAACGCGCCTAAAGAAGTATAACTTCAAAAAGTGTAAAAAATCAGTATTATTCACCTGCACTTGACTCGTTTGCACATAATGAGTCATCAGAAATTGTTTCTGAAGGAAAACGATCAATTTGGCTTGTTTCTGTAGCCAAAGATCTGTATAATCCATGGTATGACACCTTTGTTGCACAAATCTTCGAGATTTTTTTTTTGATATATATCTTTTTTTTATAAATAGGTTCGACAAATGACTCCACCAGAGGTTAAGTGACGAGGAGTCTAGACGCGAAGATAGCTGCTTCAACAGTTTTACTTGCCACATCAGCTAACCTCACTTTGCCGGCCTGCAGAATTGCTACTTCACACACGTAAGCGGGCAAAGTAATCCATTTGACATAGTCCATAGTCTGACAAAGAAATGAATTACCAAATTTATTGGTTCACGTTGGAATAGTAAGTAAGTCGGTGACAACGCAGGCCAGCGCGTGTAGCCTTCCGTAGGAAAGGGGAAGGTAGGTTAAGGGACAATAACTCCTTAGAACATGCGCTATGGTATAGACGATAAAACGCGGTTAATAACGCCACATCACGGCGTAATTGAAGAGGTTTCTAGGTGTTTAGTCACCTCCTTATCGCGAATAATGCGGACCGCGCGCCGCTGTAACCTATCCAAAGCATCAAAAAAGTACTTGGTGGAGCCATCCTCTGGGGTGCGAACAATATTCCATGCAAGACCGTACTTGCGTCTTGTACATCGAGTACAGTTGCTCAGGCGTGAAAAAACGTTAGTTTTACCGTGAAAGCGCAGACCTGGGCTTTCTTGGCATTGAACTCAACCAAGTTCTTGGTACCACATTCGGAAATGCGGTCCAAATCTTGATTGAGTTCAATGAAAAGATTCTCCCGTTTCTCCTTGGTTTCTACCTGTCCAGCCGCTGCGTATCCAAAATACCCCTTATGCACTGTATTATCGGCTGCATAGCAATGAATATTCTCAAGAGGAATTAAATCATTGATATGCAGCAAAAAGAGTGTAGAGGATAGGAAGGAGCCCTAAAGAACACCGGCATTCACTGACATGAACTGCGAACTACATCCGTCACCGTCCGTCGACGCTCATGCAGGAAGTCAGCCACCCAGGCACAAAACTGAGTAGGCAGACCATATCCAGGAAGCTTGGAGAGAAGACTTATATGCCAGACCCTATCAAAGTTTTGGCGATGTTAAGGCTGATAGCCAAAGACTCACCTCGCGTATCGATAGCCTCACCCCAGATATATGTCACGTACGCTAGAAGGTCACCTGTCGATCGATTCGGTCTAAATCCGTATTAAAGATCGTTGATCAGAGAGTGGCCTTCAAGGTAGCGGGTCAGATGGTTATTTAGGACTCTTTCTAAGACTTTGCACAATTTTGAGGTGACAGCTATTGGCTGATAGTTGGTCGGGTAAGTCTACGTGACTTAGTTATTGGGCATTTTTGGAGTTTACTTTTAGTCATATTTCTTAGCAGTTATCATTTTAAACCAAAAACGCAGAATAGTTCACCCAGTAATGTTTATTAGTGATTAATTAAACAAAAGAATAACAGTGCTGCCCAGCGCGCGATTCAACAATGAGTGAATAAAAGTGAGCGACTCACTCGCTAGCGCGCGATCTGTGTACAGAAGAGACGATTAAACATGGATAGCTGGTTTTAGCTGAAGCATAAATTTTAAAGTAACGATGACTAACGCTAATAAATTACAATGGAAGAAAAGAGTAAGCACCGATAATCGACTTAAGCTGAAGTAATTTATAAAGCGTCGAATAAAAGGAATTCAGTCAAAACAAATTAAAATTCGCTATCTTCTTTTACTTGCCTCAAATATAACGCAAATATGCTATATATTGTTTTATGAAAAAGCGACAGATTTGTTAGTTTTTACTTCATCTAATAAAATTAAAATATCAGGTAAAATTCAAACAGTCAAAGCCCATTACCGTGGGATACCTAATTTTAGCTGAATA